CTAAAAATCTTTCAAAACTTTTTTTTCAAAATAGCAAATTTATGTTTATAGCCTAACCAAAAACTTATTTTGGTGATGAAGTTCATATCAATCAAACCCTTTTTATCCATGCATGTATATTACCATAAGATGAATCAACACGAGGCACACAAGGCAAGATGAATAGTTTGTTGGCTAGTTTAGAATGAAGGATGCTATTCCCAGAATCTGAATGAAATACATGGAAGAAAAATTGTATTAGTGGAATTAATATCTCAACTTAAGGAATTAATGTAACTTTTATGCTATGTTTATATATTTCTGCAGAATATTTCATCTTTAGTATGATGTTTGGACGCTCGAAACTAAGATAGAAAAAAATGAAGAGATAAAATAGTCGAACAGGTGAAATCCTACATTTCTAATTTTGGCAAAACATCTTCTCTCTTTACTATGGTGTTTTGCTGATTTATACGCTTACATGTATAAACCATTTTAAATCTTCCAATATATGTTTTTTAGTATTTCTGACAATCTAATGGAATTATGCTTTTTATGTTGTCCTTTAAAAAACTGGTTGTTTTAAGCTTTTCAGTAGAATGTCAATATGGAATTAGTCACATGCTTAACTCTACTTTGTTAGTACTGTGCTTTCTGGGGCTATTTTCGAAGGAAAAAAAATTGATTCGGAGAACATATGTTGTCTTTGAAGCAATTCATTTTGGGCATCATATGTCAACCCTACAAACCCAAACCATGCCCCAAACAGATTAAAATTAGAAAAGAGAAAGGAAGGAACTCATATTTTTATTTCTCATATGAAGACTGTGCCTCATTATATTTTTGTACCTTCTTATGTTTTGGTTCTAACTACTGTCATAGTAAATGGCAGAAGTGTCGAAATCTGAAGGGAGAGTTGCTCAAACAACAAATGTGATTATTGGAGGTACAGTTAAGGATGATGCTACAAATGAATGGCTTGCTTTAGATCAGAAGGTATGTTTTTATTAAATCTTTTGAAAGCTTCAACTTGATGTGATTTGCTTGCTCAAATTGCCTTATTTGTCTAGGCTTCTTTTCCTTGCATTTGGATGCTTTTGCTTAACCCAAATTATTTATATATCACAAATAGAATTTTCAGTTTTGGCCATTTTTTGACTACTAACTCTTTATAAAAGCATTTAATTTTGAGGTTGAGGTCAAATTTTTTTACTGCATTAAAGTACCTGTACATGCTGGATGCATTGCTGTTCATGTCATGCCATTCGTGCACTCCTTCAGTTGAACTCTAGTTTTTGCCATGCAACATCAAAATACAGAATTCATTTGTTTATGACAATTAACATCCGTATCAAAATGCATGAATACCTGGCCGACTGCTAGTTTGATATTCCAAGTCATTAAGTTGGCTTTCTTTGACTTTAACATTTCCAGGCTGTTTCTTCATTAATTTGTGTTCTAGAGTGTAGCAGGTAAAGAATGTTAGTGTTTTTTGACTAATTGGATGGCTTGCTCAGCTTGTTTAGCTTGCCTCAAATTGAGATGTCATAAATTAGCCTTACCCGGATATGTGTAGTGGTTTCAAACATGTTTGGAGTCATTTTTTTATTATAACATTTTGTATTTTGTCATTTTGACGGTTTGTAGAGGATTGAAGGCTTAAAATCCAGCAATGCATCACATTACAAGCAATTTTCATTGCTCATATACAATACGCTGGACTTTTTAATGAGTCTCTTCAATACTCTCAATATTTCCATGCGCTACTTTACTAAGACCTAAATCTAACACCAAAGCTTTTTTGACTGATGTTTATGATATGAACACCACTGGTGGCAAGGACCCTAGGCAAGGAGCATCATCAAGGCTGCATCGTGAACATTGACTTCAAAGATGACTAATGGATTACTTCATTGATGAAGGCTCGTGATGAGTGAACATTAGGTGAAATAATCTGAGTGTCTTTACTTAGTTTCTAGTTTGTAATTACAAGGACTTGACCTATTTTGTTGGTTTAGTTGATAAAGGTTATGTGGCCTTTGGGGCTTTTGTCATCATGTAATAGTAATAATGATTATGTCACGACCTGACCCAAGATTTGGAATTAATCAAGGCCGGTATAGACGGCCAGACAGCGACAATTAAATTTTTTTTATACGTTTTCTATAACTAACATTTAAGAAATGCAAAACCACTATAGATAAGAAAATTAAAGAAATTATAAATTTACCTCAGGTTAGGTTGCCCACGTCATCTATAATTTTTTAATCTTCTATTGCTCTTCATTTAATCAATTAATTAAACCTAAAAAATTTGTTTAAAGCAACTGTGAGCTAACTATAGGAACAAATACTCATACTTCTAAATTATAGTAATAATTTGGGACAAAAATATACATGCTAGTTAAACCTTATATAAATCAATCTAAGAGCATTTGAAAGTTTGTACTATTTAATATGATCATTCAGGATGATTCTAAACATTCATTGTTTTACATCATTTACATATTGATATTTTTTTAATCTATATACAATTGTTATAGGAGTTCCATCTAAAATTTGGCAATGAAGGTACATCGATATCAATATCCTGTTTTATTTACATACACGAATACGTTAGCGTTCCCTCACTAGTTTCATAAAATGGTGAACCCCATGATAGTTAAACATGCATATACAAACAATCTATATAGCCCATATCATTCATGTTCTCATCTAATTTAATTCAATATACTGTATATATAACAATAGCTACAAATATTTGACATTCATGGCAATGCGACAAATAAAGAAGAGAACATATCAATCAGAATAAAACTTGTACAAGTATCACTAATGACTAATGCAGAATGGTTGAGAAGAAACAAAATATTTCTATAGAATAGAAGTACGAGTATTCACTTTGATTTCACTTTAAGAAATGACTTCCTTCAAAATCCTTAACTTTCTCTCTGCAGTTTCACTTTTCTCGCATGGTTATTTTTCATAATATTCTAACATTAATATGTAGAAATTTTTGATTAAATTGGCTATAAATGAGTACCAAAATAAACATTAATCTTACCTCCTTATTTCTTCTTCTTTTGCTCGATCCGATCTACATTTTATTGGCCCTTTAATTCAATTTCTTGTCCAAACTAAACTACTGAATTGAATTCATAAAGTTTAATTTACTTTAATAACATTTTAATTAAAAATAACTTATCTAATTAAAGTATAAAATTAAATCCATTAAATCTTACCTTAACATTCGTTCTATGACTTGATTTGATTCTTTGCACACAAGGTTTCTCCTTCCAATTTAAAACTTCTATAGTTTAAATACGGATTTTATTAGACCTACTATTTTTATTTTAACACACACACATATATTATATTCATTAATAAAAATATGCACCTCCAGCATACACGAGCCACTTAGTTCGTCTCTGCTTCTTCTTTTTCACGCAGGACAAAACACAAGGAAGCCTTGTCTTCTCCTTTATCTTCCCTTTTCCTTCACTCAACTGGGGACGAGTGGCATCGAACTCACACTTACTATGGCTTCCTCCTCTCTTCTTTTACTTGATGCTTCTCTTCCTTCACCTAGAACTTCCCTTTTCCTTCACTCAATTGGGGACGAGTGGCATCAAACTCACACTTACTATGGCTTCCTCCTCTTTTCTTTTACTTGATGCTTCTCTTCCTTCACCTAGAACGAAATCTCTCTCTCCTTCCTCTTCGCGTAAACTAGACATTGACAATACTCGAAAAGCTCTCCTTCTCACTAAAATGCTAGGGTTTAGCAGCCTCTCGCACCTCTTCCTCTTCAAGCCAGAGCCCTCATCGATGATTTCTGAAAATGGCATCGAATCTCCAGTCAGAGAACCACATGACTTCTCCTTCTCCCTCTCTCAATCTCTGATTCTCATTCTTCCTTCCTCTTTTCTATTTATCTCTCTCACTTGTTCTTTAATTCCTTCCCTCCGGTTTGAATAAAATGTTCGATACCTAAGAAGAACCTAATCCAGACGACGATTGGTTCGAATCATCACAGATCAAAAAAAAAAAAATCATTTTCTTTTATTTCTTTTTATTTTATTTTATATTATTATTATTATTATTATTATTATTATACTTTTAATTGGTTATTACATATTAGGGGCAATAAAATTTATGGGATGCTAGTCTGGTAGCCATAGTGAAAAATTTAGAATTTTCTTTTCCTTGAACCTTACTTTCTTATCTATTTTCTTTGCATTAAAACTCTTCTTAATCCCTCTCTTGGCTTTTAATGCCATGAACGGATGACATTATTATTTTGTTTTGTTTATTACAAATATAATTTTTAGTTGAGCTCCTTTTATCGTGTATTTTTTGTGGAAGTCTGAGTGTTAAGTGTTAACAAAGCATGTACATAGTAAAGAGTAAAATTTCAAACATTAGACATGCATAAACAAGAACATCTAAGATTTTGAGAAAATGCGGAACTAAAATTGCAAGTCTAGCTTATGCAGACAATAATTCAATAAATTTGGCATGTCGTGAAGATGAACTTGTACGAAAAATTTAGGTTGGTGTTGCAAGTATAAAAAATATATTTTTATTTTTTCGGTTTTATTTGCATGTGTTTCAAGTTCATATGCTATCAAGACAGCTAGCACATACACATTAGTGGTCAAGAAAAAAATAAAATCTGATAAATAATTAATACAAATTGATCATAATGAATCATCACACATGATATAAAACATATTATACAATATGCCTTTATTTGAAAAATCATAATTCGATCTTTTTACATCAATTAAGATTTAATTATACTCTACCATTAGTATCATATCATATGGTCCTTACTTCAAATGGTTAAACCCTTATTTGAAATTTCATAATTAGTTTAATTTTAGAATTAGATCGATCATACCACACAATAGGTTTCTTAAATTAAGCAAATTATGTAGTTGAGATTAAGAGTTGATATATATGCATTTTATTTAATTGATTGTGCTGTACTATCTATCAGTACTCTCATGAATTTAGGGTGTTGAGTTTATTGAATTTAATATAAATTAATTTTTTTTCAAAATTAAAATATGAGAGGGTGGCGAGAATCAGTGAGAAAACATAGAGAAATATTTTTTTTTTGAGTGATGCTCTTTAAGATTTGATTTGTAAATCCTAAAGGAAAGTTTTTTATGTGAGACTGCACAGAATAGTTGTTTTCTTCCATATACATTGCTATTCTTTGATTTGCAGATCTTCCTACAGTAAAAGATGTAGACTTATGTTTGTGAGAGATATCTTGCTCTCAAAAGCTTGTGTAGACTTTGGTGCTAGTAGCCGGTGGGCTAGAATAGCAATTCACCCATTCAAAGTAGAAGAGAGGGTGTAAGGTTTCTCCAGTATTTGGTAAGAGAAAAGTTTTGTAACCTTGTTATAGTTAAAGAAGATGATACCGGAGTTCAACCAAATAACAATAGGAAAATCAAATATTATTACTGAATTCAAATAGGGAATTTCAACCAACAAATGAAATAGAAAATTGCATAATAGGAAAATCAAATATTTTTACTGAATGGGAATTTCAACCAACAAATGAAATAGAAAATTGCAAAAAAAATGTCACACAAACTCAAACTAGGTTGGTGATGATCAACTAGGATTGGGAAGGTGGCAACATGCTGGAAAGAGGCGGGATGGTGGAAAGAGGAGGTTGGCAAAGTAGAAAACAACAAGGCTGCTGTTTCCCGAGGTTCGAAAAACAAACAAGCAGCGTAGATCAATGTCGAATAGCTGTCCTAGGTAATGGCAACACTGAGGAAGGTGGCGGCTGCAAGGGAGAGGCAGTTTGCAGTGTGGGTCAAGTGGTCGCTTCTGTCCCCAAGTTGTGCCAGCAAGCTAGAGTTGTAGGGAAGTTTGGAAGCTGTATAAAACAGTATATCCTTGCTGTTCTGGGTGATGACAATAAGGGCGGAGGCTGGAAATTGCTGAAAAACAGCAATCCCTTGCTGTTATGGG